ATGGCTGGGTTAAGAGCATAGTCAGCTTGTTTTTATCAAGTTCCTATTTGCAGCATTGCTGTCTTTTCACATACCGAATTGTTGCTCGTCACTGTGTTTTAACCTGAGTCCATTGTAATTCTTTACTTTTATTAAGTCCCATTTTGAACATCCTTATTTCCCTTTTTTTGGTTTTGGCAGTTTTTTACAACTTTTATTGCTTGAAAAAGGCTTGTTTAGCTGGGCATTTTGTAGTCAATCTGCATAGTTTTAAATAATTAGTGTTCAATTCTTTTAATTTCTAATTTTTAACTCTTACGACCCCTATTAATTCGATCATTACGTGAGCTTTTTAAATTTGATTTTACCAAAAAGCTTTGTGAAACTGTTTTGCAAAGTACCTTTAAGGTGTCATAAATTTCGTATTCGCTACTTAAGCTGTCCTTGGTTAGTGATTTCCAGCTTTTTGACGCTGCTAAGACCATGTGATTAGGTCACTGCACATTGTCCGTTTCTTTAAGAACTGTGATCGACAATATTCTCTCGGAGATTCCAGAGGCCTTGAAACCCAAGATGGGTCAACACTCAGAGGATATGTTGTCCAACCAGATGCTTTGCGGCATTCCTGAGGTTGACCTCGGTGTGGAGTCCAAGATGCGAAACATCGAGGCTACGGAGGAGGCTAAACAGCGGCTGTTGAAAGAGCGTCTCACCCAGCGCCAGAAAAAATCCACAGACGACCTGGCTCCTTTCAACATGTCTGTCAACTTTGTCCAGCATAGTCGATGGAGTAAGTCTCTTCTTGGTTATGCCTTATCAGTAGCGTTTATTTTTCAAGTTTAGGAGTAGCTACTCAAAGTGCGTACTAACCTGGGGTAAACGCCGTTGTTGCTTGGTTAAGAAGTGATTGCCTGTCCTTATTATGCTTCGATTGTGCAATTCGACATTCTGTGGACTTTCTGATTACATCTTTGACAATATTTTGGTGGGTTACATTTGAATGAATTACTATTTAATCAACCAATGGGCATAGATGATTACCACTACTTTCCAACTGCTCCTATTAGTATTCCACGACGTCACGTTACTTCCGACTTTCCGGGAAAAAACTTTTGTTTCGTTACTTCGAGGCACTTTGAACGTCTATCGTTTTTATGTTAATCATTGAGCTTTCCCGTACGGAATATAGATCCGAAGGCTAGGATTCCTTACCTTAACACTTTCTTATCTCTAATGAGGTTTCTTTACTGCTTTCTGGTATATGCAAAATGTCGCGCTTTTATCATTGCAATAAACCATGGTTACCTTTATAGACCATTTTAAACTCTTAAAATAGTCGCTTCTTTGTCATGATTTTAAGTTTATAAATGTTCAATCGTTCATTATCTTGCTTCTTTCTAAGCCATTTTGGCATTCACGCAGCCATCAGAATGTTTATTTAAGAACTCCATTACCGCAGGACAGGTTAAATCCGCCACATTGAAGTAACTTATGAAGCATCTCTTTTGTTTGAGCATTTAGCTACTGTAACTCAAGCCTAGCCCTCTCCAAAGGTATTCAAAAGAAAGAACTTGTGCTTCAGTGAAGATTTTGAGGGCTTTAGAAACTGTATCGTTGAGCTTGGCCCATCTATTGGAACTGCATCACACTTGTGGCTAGAAGTAAGCGAATGATGGCATTTGGCATTCCCACCTTTCCAAAGAAATTCTACTCGCGTTTCCTCTCTTCTACACTGTGAACTGAAGCAGGGCCACTTTAGCAATAACATTGATTTTTAGCGTTCTTTAGGAAACACTTTCCCAGAAGCATATTTTGTATTAAATACGGCACACCTGTTATTGAGGTTGAATCCTTTAAGGAGGGGCTGCTTCAGTTAATCAACTGATGCCTTTATGTCTTACTCATTTTACAAAAGTTTGCTTTGAATTGTTAACGTAGTGTTGAAGACGGTTTTGGCGGTCCCATGTTTTTTTGACCCATTGCTTATCATTTGTACCAAGTTACATCCTTTTCCTTTTTGAATGATTAGTGATAATTTCGTTGTAGAAGGGTAGGAGCTTTATGTTGTTAGAGTCAAAATACAGTAGACTAAATAGCGTCGAAGTGCCGTGCAATGGTTTGAGAAGGTTAAAGTATTATAG